CAAAAAAAAATCTCTCTTAGTTGAAATGAATATTTCAAATTGTATTACCCTGGTGATACAATTTATCTAGGGAGATGGATGAAATTACCTGAATTAGGGGATGAATAAATGTGGCGAAAATGAATATGGCTTCTAGACTAACGCATATTTGAGAGTTATGACTACGTTAGTTGTCCACTTAAATACTTTTAAAAACTTGACTAAATTTTAAAGAATTAATTCAGGATTCTTTCAAAACTACATCTTTCACATGAAAACTGTGATTTTAATTCTCCCAATTTTAAGATATACCAACACTGCATTGGAATGAAATTATCAAATATATCTTGAATATATTCCATTGTGATCTCACTTTAAGAATTATTATTTGATACCTTTAAAGTCCCAGTATGTTCTGGGATCTAACTATGTAGGAATTTTATGATGTTTTCAATATTTAATGTAGTTTGATGTACATGGGCCTTACTGGGTAAGAAATTAAAATTTGATTTTCAATCTCATGAAAAATGGACTCATTGGAATAACTTTTATTTGAAAATGACAGGAAAAGGGTTTGGATTTTTTTATTTTTTGAAAAGGATTTTTTAAAGGGTTGTGCTTTTTTAAAGAGAATACTATAATTGCTCTTAATTAGTTAATAAGTAATGATATTTTCAAACAGTACCCCCCCCCCCAAATTCAGTCAAATAAAATTCTTTGGGGCATATTGAATTCTTCAGATTGGCTGTCACTTTTTCTATGCTGCAGATGCAATAAATATGAAGACACATTACTGAATATGTTTTGGGTATGTCCAATGATAGTTCCTTAGATTAATACTGTGGTGAACCAAGTTGTTGGATGGAAGTTAAGGTCCAAAGATGTTCATGTTGTTAATTAGACTCCAAACATTTGAAATTTCTCTATGTATGAAGAGGTTTGGAGATACCATGCCTGGATAGTAGTGAAAACGTGATTTTGTATTCTGGGAGGATGTTTTTCTACCAGATTATAAAGTTTGGTTTAATGAAATAATCAACTCTCAGCCTTCAAGATGACTTTGTATTGATGGAGAGGCAAGATCAGACAATATGATTTGATTAGAAGCAAGATCACTGGTTCCTTTTATGTTTTACAATACTATACCATTTTTTATTTTGAAATTGTAAAACAGTAGATTTTTTTCCTTTTTTCTTCTTCCTTTGTCTGTGTTTGTTCTACCTTTTTTCTTTTTTAGTTTTCACTATTTTATTTATTTAGGCTTTGTTATATATTTGTAGTTAAATAGTTTTTGTAATATTTTAAATGAAATGTAGTAGTTTTATATGTGATTGTTATTATTTGTATTATCTTTTTAATTAAAACCCATCAATATTTCACAACATATATGGACAACTGGTGGCTTTGGGAAGCCCATGTTCTGCTCCCCTTAATCACTCATTTACCGTGGGTTATATACACTAATCCGACAAAACTCTGAATAGCTTACTTTTCCAAATTAAAAGGCATCAGATGAGTGGCAGAGATCATGATGTTTAATAGTATTTCTAGGGAAAAGACTCTAATTTTCCCCTGCCCCAACAACCAGACCAGCAATCCTAATGCAGTAAAGACAGCTGTTATCCTGGAATCTTATGGGGGGAGTGGATTTAAACCATCCAGTGATCTAATCCTCAGATCCATCACATTCTCTACCCCAGCCTGGAAAAAGATTGAAAATCAGAATTGCACTCCTACTCCTGCTTTGAAAGTTGTTCTGCTCTTTCCTTACTGGGGTAACCTACAGTTCTCCTAAGGCAAGACAGTGTATGAAAAACTCTTCACATATAAGGTACATGGCAAAAATGGGATGGACGGATGGATGGATAGACGGACGAAAGGGATTTCTGCTTTGTGCTGTGAGAAATTGCAACAGACTAATTAAGAAGTTCCCATATATGGGTGAAAGATTATGATGACATCAGCACAGTAACAGCCTCCCGAATGTTACTGCTTTCATAATAGAAGAAAAATGGGTTTTCCAATGGGTTTTCCTTCTTCTATATCTACAAGAATTCAAGTTGCACAATGTCCATCTCACAGAAAAAACAAGCAGTTGTCAATGTTTTTGCCTGGACCATGTGTTATGCCATCACACAGGACTAAACATTTTAGTACATGGAGACATGCTTTACTAGACAACAATGATAAATGCTTTACGTACCTGATGTACTGCACAAATCCAACCAACAGCGCACCCAGATAGAATGAGAAGAAACTCAGAAAACTGAAAAGGATGGCATGTAGATAAACAGAGCCTAGGAAAAAGACACATGGATGTACCCTTAGTAGGTGAAGAGGAAATAATAGCCCATTCCTCTGCTACCATGTCATTTGCTCCTCAAATTTCATATATTTTCTCTTTCCTTCAGGAAACCAAAATTTGAAATAATGGTAAATGCCCACTTCTTCCTCTTACTATGTGCAGTCCTCAATATTATCCTCCACTTGAAGACAGATTTGTAAGGTAACTTGTAATCCAGACTCTGACATCTGTTCTATTCTGTGGTTCTAAGGAAAAAATTTCTTCAAAATCCAGTATTTGTACTGGAGTGAAAATCTGTGCCAGTTCATTGATTTTTGTTAACTTTAAGAAAATACAGAATTATGTTACAAGACCTTTAACTGATGGTACCACTGTCACTTCAAGGTGCTTCATCCGCTGGAGATTCCATGTGTAGTTAGTCTTTCCTGAAAAAGAGTAACAGAATACATGCATACATGCATACACGCATATACATACAGTCATGTGTTAAAGAAAGTACACCCCCTTTGAGTTCTATTGTTTTACGTATCAGGACATAATAAAAACCATCTGGTCCTTAGTAGTTCTCAAAAGTAGGTAAATACAACCTCAGATGAACAACAACACA